ACCTAAATTTTCTAATTGGATTTTTAAAACGTACGTGTAAGAATTATCTTAAAAGTTTTTTAAATGTAGTTTTTTGAAGTCATTATGTTTTTTAGGTACCGTTACAGTCCATTTAAAGTTGTTCAAGTAAACATTAACTTTTAAGCTGTTTGATGTAGTGTTTGAGGTAATTTTATCTTCGAAAAATGGGACGGAACTTTAGTGTTGAGTTAGTTTTTTTCAGCCAGTTTTGATTACCTCAAAAATACTCGTAGTGTGTGTCAAAAGCAGTATTAAAACCCTTTGTAGCCGTAATTTACATTCTAAAATGAAAATGTGAAATTTTTTTGTGTATGTTGTGAAAAACTGCTCTGAATAGTTTCGATTTTTAGACTAAATTACAAAAAATTTCACGAATTGAGATAAAATTGGATGAATCAACTCAAATTGAAAATTGAATCAACTCAATGAAAAATTCTCATTTCAATTTGGCTGAATATCAACGCTCTTCTAGCTTTTATTACTTCTAATTGTTTTTCGGTCAAATTTTTCTGAAGAATAACTTTCATTAACTTGAGAAAAAAGAAAATCTTAGTTTAAAGTTTTTTTTTAATTATCTTGGTCGAAATCTCTGCTATTTGCACAGCAACCGGATATCTTTGCTTTCATGTGTAAGTAACATAAGTTATCCTGGAGGTAGAAGAACAGCTTACAAACTGTTCAAATTTTCAAGGAGAATTGCTTGCTATTCTCCTGCTTAGAATCATACTTAATATTTTTTATTGCAGTGACAAAATCCTACTAATTGAAAACGGATGTTTTACTGCACAATTGTGAATAAAGAGCCGATTTATCCTGCGACTAATTTCCATTTTGCGAGCTATAATCGTTTCTACACAGATAAAAGTATTTTTTAATCAACAAGAGGAACGGATTTTAAAGTCTAAAAACAATCAGTTTTATATTCCCAAACCTTCTCAACATTTTTACTAATACCTGTTATGTGTTGTTATTCTGTGGATACTCTGTCAATAATATGCAGGCGCGGATCTAGGATTTTCTCTAGAGGGGGGGGGGCGGATTTTCACAAAAATTTTGAAAATTTTATCGACCTGTTTTTAGGTCGACTAAATTGATTTTCTGAGCTTTCCGACCACTATAAAGACCCTATATTGACAAATTTTTCTGCGCCTGCGCAGGCAAGTTTTTCAGAAAAAAGAAGATAAAAAAAGGCGTTTTTAATGCACATTTTGGAAAACTTCGACCAAAAAAATGGGTTTTTTTTGGCGCGCGGTCCCTCTCAAATTTAATATATATTGGCGTCAAAGGTGACATTAGAAAAATGTTAAGGTCAGTCAACCAAAAATTGATAGCCCAAAATAGTGCAAAGGGGGGCCCTTTGAATCGGCAAAAAGTCGAATCCCCGAAAAAGAAGCGTCCGCCGTCAACCCCCCCCCCCTGATTCCCCTACTAAGAATATCTATATAAACTGTATAAAATCAGACCGAAATATGTCTTGTATAGAATCTATTTATAATTTATAAGTAATATGAATTCAGTCTGTATATAATTCCTATGGAAACCATTCATTTGAAGGGCTTCTAAAAAATCAGCTTTGAATTATTTAAAGAATACAACATCATTTAGTGATTAATTTTGTACACCAATTTCAGCAAAAAAAACTAAAGGGAAAAACCTCCGTCAGTGTTATAGTCAGTCAAGATTTTTTGGCGGTGTGAATAATTATGATATATATTATGAAGTTGAACAGAATGAAATTTTAGGATAACTAAGTGCATTTTACATTACGAGGCCAAACTGTGCATTTTGTGCATTGTAAGCGGATTCCGCAACAAGGATGCTCCCTTTGTTCTTTTTTTGTTCTTTGCTTTCCTTTGATCGTTCCGACAAAAATTTCACTTGTTTAAAGACGTGTTTTTGGAATCCAGAAACTTAGAGACACAAAATTCTGCTCCTATCCAGAGCACAGTTTGGCCTCGTAATGTAAGCAATTATTAAAAATATAATAATTATTAAAACGAATTAAACTTGGTCTTAAATATCAACTTTTTTCTGCATATAATCAATTTTCATCCATTTTTGTCACTGCGGGTTGGTACTATTCTGACTAAGATCGAACGCGAATCATGGTGGGCCGATTTTCCGCAGATAGGAGGAGACCTTAGCCACTTCACCATTGCTCCCCGAACAAAAACTCATTCAAACCTCCTATTATTCCGACCATTAATGTACAAAAAAATGACAAAATCCCACTAGAGAACGAGAAACTGAAAAAATTGACAGACACTTACCCCTCGGAAGTTTCGAAATCCTTCGTGGCTGTTGCCGCGTTTGTCGCTGATTCGCTCTCTACTACCGCGTAATGCACTTTAGTTGTCGCCTTTTCAGTGAACGGACCTGCTCTTTCAATCACCACTTTTCCCTTTCCGCACGACTCGGGAAACTTAACTTTCTTGTCGGCACAAAACACGACGTTTCGGGTCGCCGAGTCTTTTTTGATGTCGCGTAGCTGATTCACCGCATCCTCCAGAAATCTTCGGTACTTGCGAGTTTGATTGTTGACGTCGGTTTTATGAATTCGGAAATAAGCTCGCGACTTGCCGTAGAAAATGATTTGACTCAACTGCGAGTCGACACTCTTGAACCACGAGTCGGGATCTGCAGGGTTGTTGTCGGCGACTTCTTTCACTCGGGCCATGATTTTCTCCTTTGTCGACATTTTCTGTTTCACGATATTCGAGAGTCTGACGGAGCCTGGTGACGCACAGTCGGCCCGGTTGTTGTCAACCGCTGCCCCATTTTCAACATCGTTAAGAGGTATTTTTTCCTGAATTCAAGCAAGTTCAAAAAACAGGAACAAATCAAAGGAAAATCAATTGATTGCAAAAGATATTTTTTTTGAAAAAACGTCTACCATAACAACTGTGAACAAACGACAGCCGTATCAGTTCCGAATAATTCCGTAGCTCCTCTAAAAACTATTCGTATGGCTTATTTTTAAGGCAAAAATTTGTTATTTTTTCACCGATTTTACCAATAACTGACTCACCGATCCTCCCTCCCCGTTAGCAACTGCAACAGTCGCGTCCTGATCCTCGGGGTCGTAGATGCCGACGTATCGGAAGCCCAGAGCACAGGCCTCGTTCTTCCTGTCTATCGTGTAGGACATTAGGATGAATGCTCCGAACAGTAGAAGAGTGACGAGACCTTCCCACCAATCCACCTGAACAAATTCAGACCTCTTAATTTTATTCAAGTTTTAATCCCCTTTGAGCAAACATGACTTTTCGAAAAGTTGAATAATTTTTTTTTTCATTTATTGAATGCGAATTCATTCGAAATTTGGAGAAAGCTTTCGTATTATCTTATTTGGCATAGTTTAACCGGCATAATAAACCCAGATAGCATGAATTCTTTAATTGACAAAACTCCAAAAACTGCTAAATAGAAAAGCAAAGACCGATCTTACCCAGGAGCTACGTTTCTTGCATAACTTTGAAAGTTTACATACAAACCTTCTCTTTTGAAATGACGGCGATCATCATGTACAACCAAATATACGCGCCAATGCTCCACGCTGCAGTACACGTGAACACTCCGAAGTTCTTCACACTTTTCCCCGTGCCATTTGGGATAACAACCACACATATTGCTGTGATGACGAATAAGTTAAAGGCCGCTGAGCCGACAATTGTGCCCGGCCCTAGATCTCCCGCTTCGAAATTGTTGCCGCAAATTTCAATCACCGACAGTAGAATCTCGGGAGCCGAAGAGCCGAGTGCCATCAAAGTCAAGTTCGCGACAGTTTCGTTCCAGACTTGCACTTCGATTTCTTTATACTCGCCTGAAGATGTTTTCACGACTCTGACTGAAGTTGTCGAAGTGATCACTTCGATCGCCTCCATGAACAAGTCGGCTATTTGAGACACTCCGAGAAACATGTAGCAGAGGCCTGGGAAAAACTAAGGATTCATCCTGGCAAAATGATACCCACGAGAAACTTAGAACATATTAAATCAAACAGATTTCACAAATTTTTCAATTTAATTGGGTACTAATTTGAAAATTTGGGGACCATTTGAAAATCCTCTCACAAACCTATTAAACATTATGTTTTGACATAGTACTAAGCAGTTCTTAAAACAAAAATAAGCTATACGAGGAGATTTTATAAACGTTACATCTTTCTCATTAATCTCTTCGGATGAGCGCAACCCCCCTCCCCCCCCCCCCCCCCCCTCCCCAACTTCATCTCTAAAAAACGTCCCTCCTTAAAAATGGCTTAGCGAGAGAGTTAGGTTTTCTTCGGGGTTGCAGGATTTTAATGTCCATTTTGAGTCTACATAGAAAAGATAGAAGGAAGAGTGCTTTACTTACCTAGGAAGTAGACAGTCGCTCTGAGAATCATAGTGGCAGTCGAGATCTCCGCCCCAGGCGTGCCCCATTCTAGACAAACAGAATAACTCACTATTTTTGAACCATTTTTACAAAGAGGTTCGACCAGAATGAAACTACAACAAATCTATTGACGATTCTTTTCAGCATGTTATTGCAGTCGTATCCCAACTTTGCTGGCGAAAGCGACTTGTCGGAAAATCAACCAAACAAATATTTCAGCAGTATTTTGAACAAAACAAGAATGAATTTAGCAGCGCGAAAAGAAACTCTTTTCCGGCCACTCTTGAATGAATGGGAAGCAACTATGACGTTGGGTTGATACTTTTTCACACAAAATCAGAAAAAAAACAAAGATAGTTTTGAGTGTGGTACTATCTTGGTTTCGAAAAAAAAACATTTAATAAAAAAAAACTGTCTTGGTCTTAGTTTTTAACACTCTGTCGTAAAAGTAGATGACAAATGGACAATTAAATAAATAGTTGTATTTGCTATTCTAGCTGGTTGGTCCAACTTATCTGACCATTAGATATTTTTCCCCAAAATTTCTCTAGAACTTAGCAGTATTGCTTCCAGTTAACTTCTTCTTAATACAATTTCCTTTTGAACGAGATTCACTTAAAAATGCATCAAAAATTGCATCAAAATAGCATTAAACATTTAGGAGTTTGGAAGCTGCTCGTTGGTAATTTAATACACCTGTAAGCCATCTGTTGTTTAAGTAATCAAGTTAATCGGCAATTCATGAATTTAGACAAATATTATTCAAAAGATTGGAGCTTAAATGCAGCTCAAAATTTCGATTTGACTGATTTGAAAGACAAGAAGCTTTGCTTTTGGAAAATCTGCTTCGAGTTTTACTAGAATTTCGGATAAAGTTAACATCCTCCCCCTAAAAAAACCAAATCAAGATATTGTACCGTACTGAGAGGTGCAAAAACTTCTATTCTGATTGGCAGAAAAGTTTGTCGCAAAGTTTGACCAAACTACCATCATCCCTCTTAAAACGCTTTATCGCAGAGGAAACTGTTCACTTTGTCCGAAAACTCAAATCAAACCCGCATAAAGATTGCAAAGAAAAAAATACTACGTTGATTAAGTTATTTCAACAAACCAAACAAAACCTGTAAATTTACCGCGTTTTTTTTTCAAATAGGGCTGACAAAGGCAAAAAGTGACAAAGAATTTGGAGAAAACAAAAAAAAGCAAACGCTTTGCCAAATTTGAGCCCAAATTGTTACCTTAAAAATGGATAAGACTTTGCTTCATCAAAAATTAAGCAACTTGTAAGTCAAGTTATTATATGAATGAAACCAATATGAGTAAAATTTGAGAAGAATGAAATGTCTGAAAAGCTTTGAATTCTTTTTTAATTTAAATTTAAACAAAAAGCGACAATTTTATTTGAAATGAAACCTACTTGTTTTGATAAAAAATGAACTATTACAAACCGAAATTTCACCCTTCATAAACTATGCTGTAAAAGGAAAACACTCATTTAGATGAAATTTGATAATAAAAAAGATTCGGCCATTTTTGCATAACCAATAATCTGCCAAATCGAGTCCCAATAACCATTTTCATAACGAAGCTTTGTTTTCAACTTTGGCACACATCGGAAAATCAACTGATTGGTTTGAAACCCCTCTTAGAACAATACTAAATTTGAGGGGGAGCGCGACCGGGGAGAGGTCAAAATTTTCCAAAAAGTGCCTAAAAATGCCTTTTTGGCCTGTTTTTTCGAAAATTTGCCTGCGCGCAGAAAAATTGGACCAAATGCGGTCTTTATAGTGATTTGGGAGAGCTCATAAATTCAGTTTGGTTGAACTAAAGACAAGATCGACAAAATTTTTGATTTTTTTTTTGAAAATCCTTGCCCCTCCCTCGAGAAAATCCTAGATCCGCCCTTGCTTTTGATTTTGATCACTTTCAAATACAAACAAGACTGCTTCTATCAAAGCCGGTACCTTTTAAAATTTATGAAATAGTGTTCTTTTTAAGAGAAGTTAATAAATTTTGTAAAAAAAAAAACAAGTAAAAATTCAAAATTATTTTGAGAATTTTCTACAACCACACGCTATTCAAAGTACAAATTGATATACTTCGCATATGCCAATTACCATGCCTCAATTTAGCTTAGAACAATCAGAGTGAAGAGCGCAAATTATATTGCTCGTTAATTATTTCCAATTGGCCAAACTGGCAATCTGTAAACCCCCATAGCTTAACAAAAAAAATGATCTCAGTTAAGATACTTTTTGTTCCGACTTTCGCAATGAAAGTAACAGAATATTGGTGCTCGGGGTTTTTCTTGAGCCAAAATTCGACTTTTTATTTGCCATTTTTGACGGAAGTTTTTTGTATCATTCAAAACGTTTTGTTGTCCTGAGCTTGAGTTTTCAACAAAAAAATCTGAGTGATGTAATCGTTGACATTTTGTGAAATTATTGGCGTTTGAAAATCCCCTGATTGCTTATTTAAAAAAGTTAATCAGATCAAAGTTTCTAGCAGACTTGTTCATTTTTATATTGACTCCAAATTCAAACAAAGCGGCAATTTTTCAAACAGTGCTATGGTAATGGTTAGTTTTAAAAAGTTGTGATTGGGGTTAATCAATATCATTTTTTGAATTCATAAATTTAGCTCTTACTCAGCTAGTTTTTCAGACTTAAAAGTGGGACTATAATATTTTATAACAAAAAATTTGACATAATAGTTTTTTTGTAGTTGCGTTATTGCTCAAATTTTTGACTAAAAGGATTTTTTCAAAATTATTTCCATTTTACAATAGAATGAGAAATTTTTGTACGCCTTTTGAACTTTCAAAAATATATGATCATTTACGAACTCTTCAGCTACTCTTGCAATACTCAATTTTTACATGTAGGCTATCCGTTGTTACTACTCCAATTTGGCCGATTAGCATTAAAATTTTGGTAAAAGCGACTTTCAGTTTATACAAATCAAATTGAAAAAAAACCGCGCGCCCAATTTATCGTAATGTTTTGATCACAAGTTTACAAAACTCGCCAAAAATACAAACTTGGCGTTTTTTCTTCAAAATTGGCCATTGCGCCAAAAAAGGGGAAATTTTGTTAACTTTTAGAAAAAGATTGTTTAAAATTTCCATGAAGTCATCCCCTTGCTAAAATTGTGGATCTGGCTCTGAAATTACTAACAGAAAACAAAGCTAAAAACGTATTCGTTTGCAATTTACTGTTCATCATTTTTTCAGGAATATTTTGACCATTATACTGATATAAGTAACTTACTAGAATTACCGACTCTTCCTCTCAAGAAATAGTTTCCAATCAATTTTAGAGATAATGTAGGAAAGCAATCAACTTTAATCAATTCAAAATCAGTATAAAAATCCTTTCTTAGGCTTTTTAATTTTTTACGAAATGGTTATTCGGCAGGGGCGGATTTAGGCAGAAATTTTTTCGGCAGGGGCGGGGGCATCTTTAACCTCCACCCCCTCACCAACCAAAAGGTCCCTCATTTGGTCTTATTTTATGTCATCCATTTTCGACGACAAACCATGAAGTTTTTTAAGGGTACCTTCGGTGCCAACATCGTGTAATTTTGAAAGGGAGCGCGCGCCAAAAAAAAGAGGCATTTTTCAAAGATTTCAAGAAGCATTTTTAAGGGTACCTTACATGAAGTTTTTTAAGGGTACCTTCGGTGCCAACATAGTGTAATTTTGAAAGGGAGCGCGCGCCAAAAAAAAAGAGGCATTTTTCAAAGATTTCAAGAGGCATTTTTAAGGGTACCTTACAAAGAAGTTTTTTAAGGGTACCTTCGGTGCCAACATAGTGTAATTTTGAAAGGGGCGCGCGCCAAAAAAAGAGGCATTTTTCAAAGATTTCAAGAGGCATTTTTAAGGGTACCTTACATGAAGTTTTTTAAGGGTACCTTCGGTGCCAACATAGTGTAATTTTGAGAGGGAGCGCGCGCCAAAAAAAAAGAGGCATTTTTCAAAGATTTCAAGAGGCATTTTTAAGGGTACCTTACAAAGAAGTTTTTTAAGGGTACCTTCGGTGCCAACATAGTGTAATTTTGAAAGGGGCGCGCGCCAAAAAAAGAGGCATTTTTCAAAGATTTCAAGAGGCATTTTTAAGGGTACCTTACATGAAGTTTTTTAAGGGTACCTTCGGTGCCAACATAGTGTAATTTTGAGAGGGAGCGCGCGCCAAAAAAAAAGAGGCATTTTTCAGAGATTTCAAGAGGCATTTCAAGAGGCATTTTTCAAAAATTTGACTGCGACGCAGAAAATTTTGTCCAAATAGGATCTTTATAGAGTTTTGGGACCGCTCGGATGATCATTTTAGAGTCGGCCTAAAAAAGTGGACAAAATGTTTGAAGTCCCCCCACCTCGAGAAAATCATAGGTCTGTCTCTGTTCCGCGGTACCAACCGAAAAAGAGGTTTTTCCAAATTTTTCATATCAAAAAAGTTTAGCTGGGTCGAATTCTCATTTTTCATATGCAGTATTTTAAAAACCTGGGGTAGGATTAGCTTCAGATGAACCTCTTTTCAAGTTGCATCATTTTGTTCGGTCACAGAGAAGAACTTTTCAAGTTGCATCATTCGATCGCCTGTAGAATTGAACTGTAATTGTTGATGGTTCTCTGTGTTTCAAAAGCATGATTCACGTTCAAAGCTAAGCAGACCCTTTTAGTGGAGCTGATTAATTTGAGTTGATCAAGTTGTGGCAATAAACGCAGTATTAAATAAATGAGAATAATCAGCAGGTCAAAATCATCAAGGTATCAAAAGTTACATCAATTGAGAAGTTCTCAAGGTGAGCGAAAAAGGCGGTGTATATAAGTTATTAGTAACTGTAGTTACTGACTTCAAAGCTAATTTAAACTATTAGTTACCCATAGGTAACTAAAAGTTTAAATTAGCTTTGAAGTCAGTACTAACAATCTTTATAACCTTTATAGTGCTGAAAATGCTAAAATAGAACAGCCTACTTTTTGTGCCATTCTTGAAACCACTTGCAATGATCTATCTAACTTCAATTTCAATTTCAGTTTGTCAGTATGGGCGATAGCTTCTCAAATATAACCACTGGTTTTTCTTGTTATAACTTTTAACTTTCGGTACTAACGTGGCAGTATGATTCCCCCCGTGCTGCAGTCCTCTTTGGGTGCGTTAGGATCACACTTTCCATATATGGGCTCACTAGTAGTTGTATTATCGGATGCAAGAGCGGGGCTCACACAGACAACAAACAGCACAAAGGTCAACAAAAAAGGCGGAGGAAGGGCGGATGAGGTCAATTTGCGCCCGATTGAGAAACCACTATTTCTCCTCATTTTGAACTAAATCCGACTTGTAAAAGCCGCCAGCAATGTGTGATCTGAGAAGCCAACTGTCTAGATATCAATGTTGATTGAGCGCCAAGTTCCGCTATTGGTAAGTCTGAATTAGCTAGAAACAGAACAAAAGTCACAATTCATCGTAACCGATGATTTATAATGATTACCTGATATTTGGATCAAAGCAAACATAACTAATCTCTCGGTAAATGCGCGCTTTCATGTGATGTTATTAGTGTTAGAAAAAGGTTTACCTGCAACTTTTGTATATAACTTTTAGCTATCGCGTCTGCCGTTGAATGGTTCTGGTGTAACACCATTTTAAAAAGTGAAACATGGCGAAATTGTGAGTTGTGACCTTATTGTTACGCTATTTACAAACGAGATGCAGCTAATAAAACATAACGCCAACAGACGGTAATAGTAAGATTAACTAGCCGTAAACCAGTATCAGACGGTAGTATGACATAAACTTTTAACTGGGTGTTTACAGTTTAAAAGTTGGACTTAGATTTTGCCCTTATTTTTAGATAGTTGCATGCAGGAGTAGGGGGGGGGGGATTAGTGGGGCTTAGTCACACGTTTTGCGCAAATTGAGAAACATAGTACAACGGTTAAAAATTTTTGAAAATCCTACAAACCCCCCCCCCCCCCCACCCCCCACCTATAAAACAATTAAAACTTACACTATTGAACTTGAAAAAGCCCTCAACCTTGCCAAGATAACATTTTTTCTGTGCTTAAAAAATTTTTGGAGAAGGTTCTTTGAAATTACTTTTCAAAACAGACTTTCAAACCTGAGATAAACAATAACAGCTAACTTTTTTTATATCCAGGTGTTTTGTTGTAAAGTTAATTAACTTACTATTTTAGGAAATCGAACTCAGGTCGGGGGAATTCGTTTAAATTTATTGTTCATCTGCACGTCTTCCGTAAATTGAATGAAATTATGTTCAAAAAATTCTGTTTCTCACTTAGTCTAGGCTAAGCGCTAATTCGTGTCTGAAGAGCGAAAAACAAGGAGAATATTTATAACAAGTGAAAACGTTGCTTCAGACAATAAAATAAATACTTTTATCTAACTGAAAAAAAACAGAAGGCAAGGAAATGCGAAAAAAATTTAAATGTGTTTCGTTAAATTTTCAAACAGCAAAGGCACTATACCTCATTAAAATTACCAAAATTGCTATTTTTGTCAAAATGCAGTTTGACGAATGAGTACCTTGTTTTTATCTATTCCAAGCGAAATTTGAGCGCATTTAGCGATAACATTAAAAACGCTTTTAGTTAAGTTAGTAGCTTATATTTTCACCATGCCAACATAAATAACAAACAAAATTTTCCCCGGAGAGAAACGATAATCAATCCGTTAATTTTATAAACAGTTAAACAATTTCAGCAGCAATTTATGATTTGGTATTCACCAAAAATAAAATTGAACTTTTTGAAATCATGATCAATTCATAATTAAGGAGGAAAAAAAACAGGTAAAAATGAAAGGTTTCCGTGTTTAATTCCCAAGTACGCAGAAAATATAAAAATCAATTGGATAGCCAAGCACAGCATAAAAGAAAATTACAAAGGTTGCTAAATTGTGACTTAATTTTTCAAAGCAGAAGACGTGATCAATCTTAAGATCAATATGCTGAAAACAAAGTGCATTGCAAATGGTAAATAAATGCTGTAATTTTAGCTCAAAAAAATTGACAATTATACAGACTGTTGATTTCAGCGAACAGAAAACTCCCTTCAAACCCCCAAAAAGATTAGTTCACAAAAGCAAATCCCCATTAAATAGAAAGACCTTTAGTTGCCTCTAACAAAACTTACCATTGAAGATGAAAAGCTCAAACACTTCTGACTTAATTCTTCTTGTCAAGATGACACTTCGAGAAAACGGATTCAAGATAGCACGTTTTGACACTTATCTCTCAAAACTGCCTGATATTTTCTTAGGTTTTAGGAGAATTGAATTTAGGTTTAACAAATAGGTGACAAAAACTGAAATTACTTAGGTACAATTGTTACTTGAAATTGGGATGCCTTGAGAAAATCAATTTGACTGGCTGCAGAAAAATAAATAAACTAAAAAAAAAATTCGAATATGAGCCCCCTCCCTCCTCGAAAAAAACCCAGTACCACCCTAGAACAGCATGCAGATAATAATTCAGATAACATTTTAAAATATAACCATAAGAATTTCGAGATGCATTGGGGGGGGGGGGACATAACGGAGAGTATGTGCATTTTAATTTTTTTCTTCCAACTAAATTAGTGTCAAAATTGTCAAATCAATTCAACAAAAATAATAAGAGGAGTTTGAATAAAATAAAAAAACAGATTTTTGAACACAAGCATTTTTCTGAGACAAGTCGGAAAAAGAGTCGGAAGAAAGGACGAGGGTCGAGGGCGAGGAGGTTGTTTTTGAGGATTCGATGCAATTCAGTTTCGAGTAAAAAACTGAAAACCTTCTGCAAATCAGGATTCCAACACAATTTTGTCCACCGCAATATTGTACACCAATTTTTTTGTCCACCGGATTTTTCTCAACTGGAAAATCATCCATTATGATTTTCAGAAACACAATAGATAAATAAAAAAAACGCCCATGCTTCAAAAAATTATGAAAAAGTAAAAAGATTAATAATGTAATATTACTAAATAAAGCTTTCAAACGACTTACAAAGGGATGTTGAGATCAAAAGCAATCCAACCTTTCCAATTCCCGGAGTGCGGTCTGTATTTAGACAACCGCGTATTCCTACTCGTCAGTAAGCAGACAAATACTGTATGAACCAATCAGAATCGAGATTGGAAAGCGAACTTTCGAAATCAACAATTATTCTTTATTCATTTCTTCCTTGTCTCGATTCTGATTGGTTAAAACAGTATTTGTCTGCTTACTGACAAGTAGGAATACGCGGTTGTCTAAATATTGCTACGTAACCCCAATTCCCTTACAGTATTTATTACAGTTCATCCAAAACACAGAAGCAAGAAAAAAGTAAATTCTACACGGTGGTTGCTCGACTAGCATAAAAGTAGACTAGCTTAAAAGTTTGAAAACCTGAAAATGTATCGACTAGCTTAACTTTGCTAGCTTTTTTTCTCAAAAAGACAAAACTGATTTTATAATCCGTTCAAATTAAACTTTGAATTTCCGGGAAATAACAATTTTAGCAATGGAAAAACTAAGCAAATGAAACTTCCTAACAGATTAATTGTGATCAGCCATACCCCGACCTGTAGTGGCTTGAATCATATATTGAAAATAAGTGTGAAATGTGCAAAATGAACTGGGATTTAAACCACTTTCTTGTATATAATGATTTTAGTTTTAACAACACGTGTTTGTGTTTCAATTTTTAGGTTAGTTGATACAATGTTTAATAAAAAAAACTTTCAATCTAGTCGAGCTTCAAGCTAGTCGAAACACTGCTAGACACGCGAATGGTGGAATGTGATTGATAGCCATTGCATTGTTGCAAAACGTATGAAAAATTTGGATTTCAATGAAAACTGCGGAATCAAATTTATTATTTTTTGCATAGTAGGTACCAATTTTCTTCAAATGCTTGCTTTTTTGAAATTTGAAACCCACATAAGTTCTTAGGAAGTCCAGTGCAGAGTTTTTAACAAAAAAAAACTTGAATCAAGTGATTCCGCAATGTACAGCAAACAAACGGCCCTGCTTTAGATGGCGCGGAGTTCGATAGGGAAAGTTTCTTTCAACTACGGAGTAATTGATCCTGATCAATTTGCTTTTTCTGATGAAATGCCGCCAATCAAACTTGCGATTAATTTTTGGTTGCTACATAGGTCACCCGGCTACAGTCGTCAACACACTAATTATAGGAGATGACTATTTGTTTTGATGGCAGAAGAAAATCTAAGTAATTTACAGTTCAGCTGTCATTGCACTCTTACAACAAACACGACAAAACACATCATTATTTTCTTTTGATTTTAGTTTTGCTTATAAGGATAGCATTTGGTGGGAAATTTTAGCTCAAAGCTAAACGCTGGTTGTTTTTGCGAGTAAGAAAAAAAAAGAAATGAACAAAGTATAGTTTTTTGAAGAAAACTTGACAAGCCAACTTTTTGAGTTTTCAACATTATACATATGATAATGCATCATTTGATTGCTTCAATCGGAAAATGACAAATTTTTCTTTGCACCAAGACTTTGGTTTTTCAGAATCATGACATATAGTCAGGGTGGAATTGTTACTGACGACTAAATCAGACCAGTTTTTCTCTACACGGATTTTTTTGTCGTTTTTCTGTCATTTTTTTTTGAACTCAACCAAGTTTGTAGATACCCTCTTTTCACAAAAATTTGGCCTCTTCTCTCGTTTTCCGTTTTCAAAAAAACCTATATATTCTGTCCCTAGCTTTTAGAGGGGAAGTGCTAATGAAAAAGCGCAACTTCTTAACTTAAACTAGGTACAATTAGAGTTTTTGGCCTGTTGATTTAGGAATTGTTGTGTGGCGTAGTAAGTTTTGTCAAAAATGATTTAAAAAATGTTTTAAAGAGCTCGCTTGAAAAAATTCAGAAAATTGAGAATACTTCCGCGCCTGATATGATAACACAGTTAACCCTTTACGAGTTTTCTTTAAGTTGACTAAAATTGGTCAAAAAACCCATCCTACACCTTAGCTTTCCTCAGTATTTCTTGATGCGGCAAAAACAACAAAGGTGTAGTTCGTTCGAAGTTTGTATCAACCATTTAAAGTTTTTTTGATCGCAAAAGAGTGTTTTAGTGGTCTTAATTAAGTTCCTTGATCAAATAGTTTGTTTGCGCGCTTTTTTTGCACAAAATTTTGTAAATTAAATGTAATAAAACAAAAATTATTACATTTAATTTAAAAAAATTAAATGTAATAAAACAAAATGAAATTTTTTTTTCAAAAATTTCAAATTTTTTAAATAAAAATCATCACCCCACACGCCATATAAAGTACAAAAGATAGATTTTGTTCCTTCTAACAAATCAATTACGGCAACTAAGCTTCGACCAACCAATTTGGAACGATTTCTAAGACGGACTAAATCTCCGCTTACGCGTTAATAGCGCGAATTATATCGCGCGTTAGTTAACCCAAATTTATCAAATGGCCAAAATGGCAATATTTAAACTCTCATAGTTTTACGAAAAATGATCACAGGTGAAATATATTTTCAAATTTAAGCTCAAGACAACAATACTTTTTCAATGATATAAAAAAATTCCGTCAAAAATGGCTAGTTAAAAAGTCGAAATTTGTCTGAAGAAAAAAAACCAACCCCGAACCCAAATATTCCGTTACTTTCGAATCGAAAGACAGAACAATAACAAGACTCCTCGTATATCAGGGCGAGGCCCTTAATATTCCGACTGCACGTTTGTGCGTTATGAGAACGCATTATATCATGCGTTAATTATCCCAAGTTGACCAATTAAGCAAAATTCAAACCCCTATAACTTTTTGGAAAATGATCAAAGGTAAAATAGTTTTGTAAATTTGAAAGGAAGACAATATCTCTCAAATGGTTTAACAAAATCCGGTAAAAAATCTTAGTTAAGAACTTGAAATTTTACTGAATGAAAACAAGACTGCTCGTATCAGCCCAACTCTCTGAGTGTTCCAATTGCCATTAAATTGGTCTCGAATAGCTTTTGGTAAATTCAGTAATTGCAAAACTATGAATTTTAAGCTGATCTTTCCTAAATTTAAAATTTAAGAGTGTTACAATTTGAGTTGTGTATGTAGTTAATAAAACCAATTAGCTGCCTCAACTCACTTCGGAACGGTTTTGCAGTGCGGGATAATTTGCCACGCATGTAAATTATAAAATGAGCAGTTTCGACCGATTGGTGGTTAGATAGTTTAATGGTGTGCAGAACCGAGAGGGCCCATGCAGATCAAGAGTTCGATCCCCCGAGGAATCAGAGTTTTGTAAAAATGGTCTGAATGAAAAAAAAACCACCTCGAGCATATATATATTCCTCACTTTCTTCGAAAGTCAGAACAAAAAGTGATAAATAGATAGTTAACTACTCAGCTGAAGTTTGTACAAATGAAATGTCAAAAAACGTCATTATCGGCCATATTTCTGTAAATTTGTGTAAGTTCTGAAAATTTTGGCAAATGAAATGTCAAAAAACGTTATTATCGGCCATATTTCTGTAAATTTGTGTAAATTCTGAAAATTTTGGCATCTATAAAACAATATATATAGCCCGGTCAAAATTTCGATTTTTTGCCAATCCTTCTAATCAAAAACATAGACGCAACTGTGCGCGATGTTTCCACATGCCTAACGGCCCATTGCCAAAGTATTCTTTACCATTTTGAAACTCTGTTTAACTCACCAAGACTGTCCACTCCGTTGGTATATTTCTGAATGGACGAAATCTACTTCCAGATATCAAATGATTAACCACTGCAAGCGAAGATAAAGTTCCGCAAAATGTCCCTTGTTACTTGGTTGAATGAAAGGAATGCGCAACAGGCCAAGTCATAATTTGATCGAGAACATAACTTCTGCAACCAAAATTCAAAGCAGCTGCTTCAGTTCGAAAGTGGATAAAACAAAGACTTTTCCTGTAGAGTCAAGCTTAGTTGATATGAAATTCTGGAGGCTGAAAAATCTGAACTATTTTGATTGGCAAAAGGTGATTTCGGATTTCGGAAAGTGTCGCTTTTTATCGCAGAGCAACTATCGACAATTGTAACGAGTTCTACCAACAAATTTAACTACTTTGCGCCATTTGGACTGACATTAAATATCTGTTTTATGCTCAGAAAACTGAACTTATAGTTTGCTAACATTTTCGATTCCTTCTCGCTTTAGCGTATTTGCAGAGTTAATATGCGCTTTATACCATGGAGTATATAGTTTTAGACAACGTTATAGCATGTTTACCATGCCATGTGTATAAAAACACCGACCGTATTTGCCATAAATTACGCAGTTTCGTTTTTGGTTTGCAGTTCAAATTTATACGCTTCAGTACTCGTTTAGTTTCAACATCGAACAATAAATATGCAAACCATTAATGTGAAAACAAGAATGAAGATAGAACAAACTTGAAGCTCTTTTGCGATATTTCTGCAAGTGTAGAGATCTCAAATTCATTCAAATGGATAACATGTTGCGTATTTGTCATTGAGAAACACTTGTTGGCCATAAAAAAGGGAACTTGAACAAAATTGTTTTTATCAGAGCAAAGCTTTGAGTGATCCGGATGCCCTTTAACGTATCTAAATAAATTTTTTAATCTTCAAAAATAATTTGAAACTTTCAAACAAAAACTGACAAAAATTTGGAGTGATTTTTTTTTCAAAACTTGGTAACGCGCTATGTAAAGTGCAACAAAAAGTCGAAAAAATTTCATTCATTCATTCTCTAAAACTCTGCAAATGAAATCATTTTTTTTCACCGCATCAATTTTTGTCACTTGTTTTTTTTCTCTTATTATGATTAAAATTATCTAATACTTCTTCAATGATTTTATAGAGAGGCAAAATGAAGCAAATCATTTTTTTGTATCGCCATAACCCGGGGTGACATCCAGATTATCTCATTAATCTACAAAAAAAACCTGCAAGAAAACTAGACGGATTGTATTTAGAATCATGATTTTTTTTTGAATGGCAAAGAAAGTAACGGAATACATTTGCTCGTGGTTATTTTGTCATCAAAGCAAATTTGAAAACTTTCAGAGCTTTTTATGATATTTCATAAGACTCGATTCTGAGGTCAAAAAATTTTCAAGTATTTTTTCAGCCTTTTTATGATGTTTGAAGGTTATAGAAGCGTGATTTTAGACAACAGGAATAGTTCATGCCGCTATTCCAGTTTCTAAAATGCTGATTTGAAACACAAAATCTACGCGCTTCTGAAATCAAACGTCTCTTTTGTAAATAAGGTTGAATTCGTAAAACAAATTTAAAGACAAACACTGTTTACTACTGTTTAGCACCAGAACTAAGACGGCGCAGTTTTTTTGCCAAGTTTCGACCCAAAGTTTTATCCCCAACTTGATTTTGTTTGACTCAATTAATTTGATCGAAAAATATTGAAAATTTACCCGGTCAATTTGTCAAAAATCATGTATAAACAAAATCTCCTACGCAGCCAGACACAATTTAAAAATTAAAAAGTCTATAGATTTTTCAAATTTTTCGTTAAAGTGCTCCAAGCTGAAAGTTTGGCTTTTAAAGTTTCCAAATAAAACTGAATATGCGAATTGGTTTATTACACAAACTTTCAATCAAAACAGTTTTCTGAATTTTTGGTGATCTGAACTGAAGACTCATTCTAATATATTTATTTTAAATGTTTTAGCAGAAAAATGACAGAATATTTGTGCTCGGGTGGTTTTTTATAAGCAAACTCCGACTTTTTAACTAGCATCTTTTAAAAAATCATTCGAAAAAATTTATTATCTTGAGCTCAAACTTACAAAGATATTTCACCTGTGATCATTTTTCCTGAAGGAATGGCGGTTTAAAGATTGCCCATTTGGCCAAAATCGGACTTTTAAAGCGCGATGTATTCCATGCTTTTACCGAGAATTTATCTGCCTTAGAATAAGTTTCTAATTTTTTGAGGCATGCATTTTGAACTATTTAATTTATTGCTAAATGCAAACTATATCACATGTGGGGCGATTATTTCCACTAAAAAAACGCAAAAAATTTTCTTTGTTTTTTTCTTTTTTTGAAATTTCATCAATTGTCTTCATTCAAACTACTCCGTAGAAATTGAAATGCAGTCGAGGCCTTCAAGGGTTTGCCTTGATACGAGTATGTTTATTTTAAGAAAGATTGAGTCAGATTTTTGAAATGATTTTTGACCTACAAGATGTGCCATCTTCTAAGCAATTCAGACTTACCGTTTTTGGACAAAACTCAACCCAGTTTGAGATAAACTTGAAAAAACTGCAAATTTATAGTTGCTTTTTTGGATATTTCAATTTGACAATACTTTGTTGCAAAGCTTATGCAAAAATGAATACGACTACATAAGGCAGAAAACTTCAGCCATAAAAAAGTGAGGTGTCCAAAGCGAATGATCGCCCTGAACTCAAAAAGACTAGAACAATGTTTTTGTGATTTGTTTATAACTGGATTACTTCTACTTCAAACTCTAGATGGCAGTCAAAAAATGTAGTTTTCTGCTGATAAAACAAACTCGCTAGAAATCATGAAGAAACAATGCGAAAAAGCAATATGACGCTCATTTAAAAGACATTATTTTAATTTGTCTCGCCGTTAATATTCTGCAGATTTGAAGCAACATCGCTCCACAATTGCAGGAAAATTTTCTTTTTTCTTTCTTAAAAATGCATTTAACCTACCATGTGTAGGCAAAAGTTGAGCCTAAGAGAAAGGTTTCTCGGTGCAATTGGTGGATGATGCTGCAAAAGATCCAAGTGTATAGCTTATTACTACTATCAGATTTGCAAGATTTACGACCAAAATTTTTATCCATTATTTTTCATCCATAATTAGCCCTCGTTAGAAATCAAAAAGAAAAAAGAGAAAAAACGATATGAGGCTACTTTAAAATATGTTTTGTTTAAATTGTCTTGCCGGTAATTTTCTGATGTTTTAAAGCAACATCAATCCACAGTTGCAAACAAAAATTTCAACCTTCTTTTTTATAAAGGTGTTTAATCCTTCATTCAAATGCAAAGCTGAGTCTGGCAGAAAATTTTTTCGATCAAATGGCGGAGGATGGTTCAAAAGATTCAAAGAAAAAGTTGTAGCATACTACTACCATCATTTTGTAAAAGTTGTTTGCTCCGAGAAAACAACTTTGATAAATGTGGATCCGAAAAACCGACAAACTAGAAAAAACCTATACTGGATATTGCTGAAATGGTTCCACTATGACTCTATATATCCGACTATTCTGAAAAAGACTCACACGTTATCTTGAAGCCGTCTGCGCATACCTAAATCTTAAGATTATAAGCTTAATAAACCAAATCATGAGACAGAGGCGAAGCGGAGCATCTCATCAGTTGCGATACAACACAAACAAAAAAACAAGTCGAAAAAAATCTAGTTTACATTCAGTAAAATCGGCGAAATTATGTTTGAATCTAATTCTTTCAAATACTGTAAAACCCAGACATCTCATCAGCATGGGGATTTTTCTCTTATATGTGGGTTACCAGACATGAAAAATTACGACTTCTTCCAGCTTTGAGAAAAAACAAACCCTTGGGTCCTTCTAAAACACCAGTATGGGCATTACATTTTTGTGCCTGCAAAAGCATCTCCAGTAATTCAATTAGTTATTGAATAGCTCGCTCTCAAAAATTTTCTAGATAGAATTAAATTGGCTAAAATTACACCTTTCTGTCAGAAAAACACAATTTTTTTCTCACACAAAGGTGTAATTTTAGCCAATTTAATTCTATCTAGAAAATTTTTGAGAGCGAGCTATTCAATAACTAATTGAATTACTGGAGATGCTTTTGCAGGCACAATAATGTAATACCCATACTGGTGTTTTAGAAGGACCCAAGGGTTTGTTTTTTCTCAAAGCTGGAAGAAGTCGTAATTTTTCATGTCTGGTAACCCACATATAAGAGAAAAATCCCCATGCTGATGAGATGTCTGGGTTTTACAGTATTTGAAAGAATTAGATTCAAACATAATTTCGCCGATTTTACTGAATGTAAACAAGATTTTTTTCGACTTGTTTTTTTGTTTGTGTTGTATCGCAACTGATGAGATGCTCCGCTTCGCCTCTGTCTCATGATTTGGTTTATTAAGCTTATAATCTTAAGGTTTTCATCCATAATTTTTCATCCATAATTACAACTCGTTATAAATCAACTTAAAAGATTTTTATTTGTTTTGTCGTGCCGTTAATATTCTGCTGTTGTAAAGCAACATCGCTCCACAATTGCAGAAAAAAATTTTAAAAAACATTCTTATAGAGGCGTTTAAAAATTCTTGTATAAGCGAAAGTTAAGCCTAACAGAAAACATTCTGGATGTAGTTGGCGGATATCAGTTCAGGAAAACTAATTATAGAAACAGTAGTTTATTGCTACCATCTTATTTGCAACATTTACGACAACATTATTTATACATAAAATTTCAGCCATGATTAGAATTCGTTAGAAATCAAGAAGAAAAAGGAGAAAAAACGATACGAGACTACTTTAATAGATTTTTTGTTTAATATGTCTTGCCGGTAATTTTCTGCTGTTTTAAAGCAATATCAATCCACAGTTGCAAAAAAAACTCAATGTTGTTTGTTATAAAGATGTTTAATCATTCATTCAAATGCAACGATGATCCTAGCAGAAAAAATCATCGATCTAACTGGCGGAGGTTGGTTCAAAAGATTCAATTAAAAAGTTGTAGCATACTACTACCATCATATTAGTACGAATTTCGTGAAAATTTTTCAACCATGATTTTTTATACATAATTAGAACTCGTTATAAATCAAAAGAAGAAACGGGGAAAAACGATATGAAACTAACTTTAAAGGATGTTTATTTGTTTTGTTTTGTCCTTAATATTCTGCTTTTGTAAAGCAACATCGCTCTTCAGTTGCAGAAAAAAATTCTTTTTAAATTTTCTTTTAAAGGCATTTAAACATTCTTGTATCTGCAAAACTTAAGCCTAACAGAAAAGTTCGGATGTAGTTGGCGGATGTTAGTTCAAAAGATCCAACTATAAGAACCGTAGTATATTACTACCATCATATTTGCAAAATTGTGGACAAACTTTTTATACATAAAATTATATCTATGGTTAGAACTCGCTAGAAATCAAGAAGAAAAGGAGAAAGAACGATACGAGGCTACTCGAAAATTTATTTATTAATTTTGACTTGCCAGTAAAATTCTGCTGCTGTAAAGCAATATCAAAACACAATTGCCGGAAAACTTTTCATTTTTTCACTGCATAGACGTTTAACTATTCATTCATATGCAAAAGTTATGCCTAACAGAAAAGTTTCTCGATGTAATTTTCGGAGGATAAA